ATTGCAGGAGCAGGACGAGTACATACGAGAATCTTTTCAGCTGTGTGGCTCAGAGCGTCAAAGTAAATAAGTTCCTTGATCTCCCGAGGTAAACCAAGGAGAGTCGAGTTCATAATGTTGGACAGGTACCGCGTCAAAGTCTGCATATAGTTGCTGGGTTCCTTTTCCACTGTCGATGCGGTCCTAAGACTAGTCAGACTTGCCGCAAAGGACCAGCTCAAGAACGTACCATTCATATTCGGCTGTTTCAATTAGATCATCGATCTTGGAGTTGACAAGCTCAAAGATCCGCTTCTCCGCCGTCTTCTTGTTGTTGCGGAACGAGTCGGTGGCTTTGAGCTTGACCGGGCCACCGGCTGAAGTTGATGAGCGTGCACGAATGAGTAATTGCTCGAGCTCTTGACAGGCAATCTCAAAGTGCTCCAGGTTAATGAGAATCTGGACGATCTGGCCCAGGTATTGAGAGCTGAGACGCTCTACTAACGACTTACAGACCTTTTCTGTAAGAAGTTCGTCAAGCGACTGTCGAAGATGTGAGCAATAAACTTTGTCATGGAAATGGGTGTCATACCTTTTTGAGCGTTTCATCAATGACATTGGGATGTTGGAAGTGGTCGTCCGAAAAGAAGTAGAACTGATTCAGGAAGTTCCGGATGTCTATACAACATAAAGGATACATCTGTGAGAAGGGGAGTACGCATGGGTACCTGGTTTGTTAGCAGGGGTTGGCTGCAGTCAGGATGAGAGAACTTACGTGAGTTGATCTGCTGGCTTCTCTTGGGTGAACCAACTGACATTAACAACCTTTTCGTACTCTTCTGGTGTATTAATGGCCATTGGCATGTAGTCATCCGTGGACACTATCTGGTAACTTGTCAGTAAATGGTATCGACAGGGTTTGTGCAACACTCACCTCCTGGAAGTCTACGCTAAAACGGTTCTTCAATAGCTCGGCATACTTGTCGAACAGCTTCAGAAGAAAGTTGTCCAGCATTGTTACTGGATATCCCCAGCCCTGTATACGTTAGCAAGGCCGTGATAGATTGCGGTTGCCCGCCGAGCATCAAGATTGTCTGTCGTACCTCCATCGTTTGAATGAAAAGGGCAATGATGGTCTTGATCTTGATCAAGGCCTCGGCATTCTCGATATCGCTTAAAGCTTTTGAGGTGAGGTTTATCACAGCAGTACACATAGATTCCCACAAGTCTTCAACCTTTGCGCCATGTTAGTTCAAGCAACCACATCCAAGACTATCTAAACTCACATCGTTCGCTGAGCGCAAATGTGGAATCCTTTGCATGGTCGCCTTTTCGACGATGGCAAATCCTGCTATTCCTTCTAGCAAACTACTCAACGATTGCTCATCCTCCGCCAAGAGTTCAATAAACCCAGGGAGTAATAGGTCCTTTTGTTGACGCCGAGTCGCACCGTATTCTGATCTGAACTTCTCGAGCTGGCCCAGGGCCTCATGAATGTGAAGCGCTTCGAGCAAAGGAGTGAAGTCTACTTGTAACTCCTCGTTATTCAACACATCAAAGTCTTCGTTCTCGTCGCTGACAAGCTCAATCGCAGAGTTCAGCTTAAAATTGGCCAAGAATGGATCCTCTTCTATTCTCTTCTTTTGTCGAGTCCTCCTCATTTCAGTATGGTAGAATGCAACCTCACCCAAGAACTGAGATGTCTCTCGAATACGAAATAGCCATGTATTTAAGTCTGTCATAACAGCTTCCGAGATCGCTTTCTGGGATGCGGGTATAGATTTTTGGATGACATCGGCCAGCCGATGCTGTGTAGAATAACGATTTTGGATGATGGGTACGAGGTGTTCATTTTGAAGATCGTCGAGGGATTTGAGGGCGGCATAGTAGTTCTTGCGACGGACTAGTTCGTGGGCATTATTGACGGCGCGGAGGATGGTAAGGGAGTCGTTCAAGGCGCTGGTCGCATCGGCGATGTTTTGCCTGACAGCAGAAGTGTTGACCAGAGCTTCCTTTTGTATAGCCAGCTTCTTCGTGCTTTCAGCGATTGACTCGTTCAGGCTCAAGATCTCTTGCGTCAAGGTCACTGTTTCCGCTCGGACGGTCTGAAGGTGATTGATGGAATCGAGGAACTCCTCATGCCTGGTAAGACCGATGCGCTCGATCTCGGCCTCCCGCTCTTCGTAGTACCGACTTAGACATTGAGTCAAAAGAGGTGTTCGGTTCGAATGTGTGGCATCTTTAAGGACGGGTATCAACTGGTCGAGGAACTCGGCATCAGTGGATGCGAGGATGACCTAGAGAGGTGGCAGGTTAGCGCATGTTTCTGTTACGATCGTGGGAAGACGAGAGTTGTACATGCGGAACAGCGGACGCATAATCGTCCACAGCAGGCGGACGTCGCGGCATGCCTATAGCCTTGGTTCGTGTGGTTAAAGCTATTAGCGATGAGGGTATCGTCTTAGTCGTCGCGTGTCGCAAGCTGCCCTGAAGCTCCCTCCCACTAAGACCAAGTGAGTGACGCTTAGTTAGGCTTCAGGACAAGATAAGATAACAACCGTCACTGCCACAGCGCCTCACAAGCCTCGTTCGCATTGGTGTAGGCTTACTTAAGCCAACACTCCACTCAGAACTACCTACATGGGATCAGGAACTCTATTCGATATGTAGAAGCAGGTAATTATCGAAATGACATGTTGTGTACTCATCAGAAGACAAATCGAATTTTAAATATTTTAAAAGTCCCCTGTTACTCCCGAGAATCATGTATGAGGGTTGGTGAAGGAAGCGATTGCTGTTGTCTATATCTTGACTAACTAAATGAGATATTCTCAGAGTACAACAAGGATTTGGCTACCCAACACCAAAAATGCTGCTAAATGTATTTCAATTGAAAGGAGTGAGTCAAAAACCAAAAGTACGTGTAGTATATCACAATAAAGAATGCTTTTATTTTCTGAGAGAAGTGTAATGTTGACGGAGTTCTGGAAAGAGACTGCCTAGGGTAAGTACCATTCCATGAAGTGTTTGTCTGCAGGGTAAGAGACAAACTCTCCATCAAAGTATGCAAGTTGTTCAATGGCCGGACTTATTTGCCATGTCTGCTTAGAAGCTCGGGTTTCGTAAGGTGAGATTGCTATTATTGTATTACCAGAGCATGAACAAGAGAAATTGATCACATGTGACTGCAAATAAAGCATAACCTTCCGCAAGACATAAACAGAGTTCCCAGAAGAATATGGCACATTATCCGCACTGAAGCGTTTGGATAGCTCAAAAGCACCAATTGTATATATTACAGTATGTTATATTCATATGGAAAGCTGGCGCTAGACGGAGCCCTCTTTCTACCTGCGCTCGAGTCGCATCGGTGTAGGACTAACACTTCGCTCGCCGCTATAAACGATAGATCAATCTTTATGTGGGAAGTAGTTGTTGTACAGGGAATGCGACGGCGTCTCTTTTACCCGCGTTCATCATCTGTATTATATCGGTGCTGGCCCTTTGCCGTACATACCGTGAAAAAGTATTGCTGCATGTCTTCAGCCCTGACGTGACGGTGTCCTGTGACTGTGAGCGCGGTTTGTGAGATGATGGACAATGGCCCTAAACTGGGAATGAACGTCAAGAAAGGGGCTATTGAGCGACCACTGGCATAGAAGTCCTGTTGCAACAGCAGGGGAGCGACTTGAACTGGACTCGAAAAGAGACGGCCGAAGGATCGTGCCAATATTCTCTCCGTGTGTGTATGGCAGGAAAATTGACCCGGGAATACCGGAGATCAGCTGTAAGTGTTTTGGGAGGCCGGCCTGGGGAACTCAAGGGTCCAGTATCGCAAGCTGGAGGGTATTGCCCCATTATTGCCGATGCACAAGATCTTATGCCAGGAACTTGAAAGCGCAGACGGTATTCGCGTGTATTGGAAACTTATTATGTTCTTGCAAGAACCGTGAAGTAGGGACTGGTGGTAGGTAGAAATTGACATGATCATGGTTGTCTGTTAAATCTGCTCTTGGTCCGAAGATGGTGTCTGAGACTTACACAGAGCAGCCAAAAGCCCCTGGTGCCTCCAGTCATACAGATCGAAAGATTTATTGAGTTAAAACCGCTATTGTAACGAAGTCAAGAACTAAGCGTCTGTTTCTGAGGATACGTATCGATGCTAGGCCTGCCGTATTGCTTTGCTCTTTCGATTCCCATGACAAGGGGCCATACTCCGAATCGAGATTTTATGCCAGCACTCAGTTAGCCAGAAAGAGCCCTGGTGACTGAAGAAATGGAACATGGAGGAAAGGCCGTGAGGTTTCTACCGGAGCGTCGGTAAAGACTCGCAGGTATTGACCGCTTCGATCGTTCGGGGGGGCGGGTATTCAGGTTGAGGAGAGTTTGTACATGAGATGTGGCCTGAATGTCTTGAGAAATCATGTTAGTGGCGGAAGATGGCGGGGAATAAGTGAGGAAACGAAACAGGACGGACCTTGCACAGGGGTTGAAGAGACTTCTGCTCAAATACATTATCCGGATGGCTGCTGAGGAGGATTGTAGTTTCTTTCGACTTGAAAACACTCAGATATCGGGTTCTCAAGGGGCTTCGCAACGACAAAAGCTTGGGGGTGCCATAATCTCAGGAACAGGCCGGATTTCCAGAACTCAACCCCTACCTAGCTAACACGAGGCACCTTGGCCAAGGTAGAAAGCACTCAATTTAGAAGGAACTGACATCCAGGCAAGTGACTAGCTGGTGCTCGATTGAAGTGACCATAATGGCTGGAAGACCAAACTTGCTTCGCCAACATGGTGCTTCCTCTGGGGGCCAAGCTGAGCACCAAGTCGTCGCTCATGTAGTGGAGGGATGTTAGGGGGGGAAGGAAAACCCAGGACCGGGCCTTGACCCTAAGCGATGAAAGTATTTAGGCAAATCCAGCCTAAGCTTAGGGGACTCTTTGCTGAGTTTATTTTGACACCTTATGTCAAGGTAAGGCGTTTCCTTGCTCCCTGAGGGGATGATAGATTATGTCCCGCTATTCTGGGTAAGCGTTGCGACGGAATAACCTGGACTCAACTGTAGTCTGCCCTATTCAGAAGAGTTGGTAACTCGCTGGCGTTATGGCGGTGGTCAGGTAATTAGAACCACATAACGTACTTTTTGAGGCTCTTGGGATTGAGAAATGGAGCACGGGTTTTGCTATCCATCCCGTGAACTTCGGCTTCGTGAGACTCAAGGTCCTCGCGGCCACCGCTACCGTCATGCCAGGAGATGGCCATGATGTAGCGACAGTTAAAGGCCCAATGAGAAGCCAAGCCTTTGATCATAGTAAAGGTGACCACCAATGCGTCCAACTCTTGCGCTGTACTGAAGGATCCAATTATGATTATCCAAGACGTTTCTGTCTAATCGTAACCACTGAGAAATTCCAAACGGGTCGTTCGACTGGTGCCAGAACGATACTCGAAAGGAATCGAGTATCGGAACCGGCTTGGGGCGCCTAAGTCGTAGAAACAGGGTTAGAAGATGGAAGTATTGGATCCGAAACGTTGGGGAAAGGGGCACCATCGTGACCAGGGCGGAACTCGTGAGGTGTTTAAGGGGCATCAGCAATATACGCAACAGAGTGGTGTCCAGGCTTTTGGACGTACCTTCGGAGCAATTTATTCAACTGCCGGTAGATGGCGAAGTATCAGGCCTGTTGAAGCAGAATGACTGTGGTAGTGCCCAAGTGAAGGAGCCCAGATTGAATCCATACAATTGCTCAAAGCAGGTAAACCAAGTCAGAGAAGCGCTGTATGAAGTTTGATCATGTTAGACTATAAGAGAAATAGAACAATGTTGATGTAATTCCAATAGCTCTCAAGGCTGAGAAGATACCACCTTTGCAGTACCATGTGGTGGCTCTTGTACATGATTGAGCCCGGACAGCCAGCGCGGTGGTGGAAGCATGCCCAGAAGATTTAGATGTCTCTGGATGAGAAACGGAGGCAGCGTTGGAAGAAGCTAGGGCGAGGGGTCGCGGTAACCGGTTGTCAAGTCTTGTATCTTACCCCTGAGGTAGTCTGGTAGTCTTTACTCACTCTACATTAGTCGAAGCTTGGTACTGGGAGACATGAAGTCATAGAAGGGAACTCAAGGTGCCAGTAAGCTGATGTGCAGGATGCTCGGTCAGTGGCAGCGCTTGAGACCCCGTGATGGAAGACCTGGCATCACTGCGGCCTTCTTCAAGGGTGGTGTGGTGCTGTTAACAAAGATAAAGACTCATGAATGCAAGGCAATACAGTAGTGAATGCCGTTGACAAGTGGCTGTCGAACATAAGATGCAGGACTGACCAGGTTGAAAAGTTTCCGGATGCTTGGCAGCATATTAGAAGGGTCAGCACATGGCCACGACTGACGCCATCAGAAGCCCCAAGACAGTAGACGCAATGAGCAATGGTATCAAGGACCTGAAAGATGAAGTACTATCAGGGGTAGAGCTCTAGTCGGAAACGGAATAACGCTTGAGAGCTTCTGAGCTTAGGGGGGGCTGTTGAGGCGTCTTGAAACACCGATGGACACATCTGGTGACCCGAGTTATCAGCTACGACTGGAGAATATGAAGAGGACAAAAAGAATGACCAATATACATTGAGAAGCCTTGAGTCGGTTCAAGGAGTGCGGTTTGGCTTCGAGTACGCGAGAGCTTGTTACACCTAGATACCTGCGGCATGCTCTGACGCCGAAGTTGGGACCCAATATTGAAGTCACGGGAACTTCGCAGACGTTGAGTTCAGAGACAAGTAAAACGTCAAGAGACTCAAGTCTGCGTGGGACATGATGGTTAAGTGTGCCATGTATCGAACTCCAGGCTCCGTGTGACTATTTGTTTCTCTGAGCCGAGAGTCTGCTTGTATTGCTAGGGGGGCTACAACCATGCAGGAACTGCCTTATTCATGAGAGATGGCTGAGGATAGCGTATGGATTGTGTTGTTTTGTTGAAGTTGGCTGCAAACCATCTGGGGGGCTGGGGCAATCATGGCTAAGCTTAGTCGTCTAGCTATCTGCGATATTAGAACAAGAACAAACGTTGGAGTTGCCTTTCCGCGACGAGTGGCCTTTGATCAAGGCTATTGAGGAGCGGAAGAGAACGTACTGAAGCTTGTAGCATATGAAGATCTGGACTCTATCAGACAAACTTGGAGAGAAGAAGATGACCGAGAGAGCTCCAACGACTCGAAGTTACGAATGTCGAAGTAGAAGTATAATAGTGCTGGAATTGCGGCTCGAGGAAGAGGCGAGAGTGGTAAGGAACGAGTAAAGAGATTGTTGAATTGACTGTTGTGATTGCCTGACCACACCTCACCAAGACTGACTGGCCATAAACTGCTCAGGTAATGCTGGCAGCCGGGTACTTAGACAAAAGGCTAGCAAATACATCTGGACCTCGTAAGGGTGATCATTGGTTGGTGGGTAGCTCCGTGTAACAGGAGCGAGTTAGGTAGCCCCGCGGGGATAGGGGATCCAATATCCGCTAGGTAAGGTACCTTATGCAGCCAGCCCTGGAGCAGTCTGCCCGGATTACTGCAGCCCTTGCTCATCTTTTAGTCGTCCAATGTTGAAAGGCCCACTCGTGACTGCTCAACACAAGGTCTTGCCCAAGAAATCGTCGAGTTGCAATCAGGGCTTGCATACTTCACCTCCCCACTTCACTCTGCCATCTTAGAAGTTCTTTTCTTTTGCCTCGCCCATACCATCAAAAACACCAGCCATGCTACAAGAAAACATCACACAATCTTTCTATGCTCAATAGTCCATATTCACCCTTAGTCTTTCATCGGATCCTGATCCGTCATCTCATCATTCCCCCTTACATTTCGACCCCCCGGTCACTCTATCACACACTCCGCAAAGGCGGCATTCCTAAACCCCCTTCCATCCTCTCGAGTAAGCCTGACACACACTTTGCTTGGGATGAAGCACTCAACTGACCTGCCGTAGACTTCACTTCGCTCGTTGCTGTCGACATATCCTATCCAGCTCTCATCATTCCTGCATGCGACTGTCAAATATTACACCACAGGGCTATCTAGGTAAGATGAATGGAGATGAGCTGAGCTCATCTCATCTTCGTCTCACTTTAGTCTGAGCTTTATCGGCGGTACTGACATCTACCGCAGCACTGGATCAAGCTTCAACATCGCCAGGAACAGATCAGCACATGAACCGACGAGCCAAGCTTCCAGATGCCCACAGTCTTGGTGCTTGGGATCCAAGCTGTAAACACACATACTGTGCAGAAAAAGCAAACAACCATACACTACATACCTCATCTTTAACGGCCCCCGAGTTCATCGCCACCTCCCTCAACCATAGTCATCCACTGTGCCAAAAGTGCTTCCCTCCTAGATTCACTACCCGGAAAGCTTCACTTGCAAGACCTTTCAGCCAGCCGTCGGCGTTAGGCAGGCCCTATTTTCGGTACGGAGAAGGCCTCTTGGTATTCATCCTACAGTTCGCTAACGTCAATCATGTAGTAACAGGGCCTTGTCTTTCCCCCTGAAAAAGCAAGTGTGTCGCCTCCAAGGCCAAGAAGGTCCCCATCGGCTTGCAAGTCCGGACATGTTCGAGAGCAATGACTATCTGCGCTTCGGCCTGGAGCATCCTAGACAGGCAGCCTTCGTACGAGTCTTCGTCGAGGATGACTTAGCCAGCACTGGAACGGCATTCAAGTTCAACTTTGAGCGTTTTGCGGAAATAGGGAAAGACCAGACAAATCACTCCACCAACTAAGAACGGCCATGAGCCACCACGACCCCTTAACCAGGGAGACATTTGAAGCGAATGATCAGCTTCGCTTTGACTTCGAGTACCCAGAGCAGGCTATTATTATCCCAACTAGATACAACAGTCGTATCGACTTGGAGAGGGATGCCAAAAAAGTGATTACAAAAATCAAAGAAGCCCGTGAGCGCTTTAGTGAGATGGGGAGGAACAAAACCCTTTCTCACGGACACGTCTGAGAAGAATGGTCATCTTCGGTTTGGCCTGGAATATCCACAACAGGCCATTCTTGTCCCGACTAGATACAACAGCCGTATCGACTTGGAGAGGGATGTCCAAAAAGTGATTGAAAAAATCAAAGAAAGCCGTGAGCGCTTCTGTGAGATGGGGAGGAACAAAACCCTTTCTCACGGACACGTCTGAGAAGAATGGTCATCTTCGGTTTGACTTGGAATATCCACGACAGGCTATGGAGAGGGATGTCGAGAAAGTTGTTACCAAGATGAAAGAAAGCCGTGAGAGCTTCGGTGAAATAGGGAGGAACAAAACTCTGTCCAACAGACAAGTGCAATCCACTCTCGACATCGCTAACCAGATCGTGGAGTCCATGGATATGATTACCAAATGACACTGGACACGTTCGAGTCGAACGACTGTTTTCGTTTCGACATGAAGAACCCATGGTAGCAGTTATTATCTCGACTAAATACCACACCTTCTCTACTTCTCTAGACCTACGTAGTGTGGATAATGACTGCCTGGCAAGGGCTCTAGAGGTCGTAGAGCAGTTACCCCGAATCAAATCAAGGCGATACCTGAACCCCAAGTCACGCAAGGTGTTGTCATCCGCCGAGGCCCCCAACCAAAAAGAGCTCAACATAAAGAATCATCCGCGGTGACGGCGCAGGGCAGATGATCAAGTATGTATTGAGAGTGTTCCATGGAGCAAACTCGCGGCAGTTCAAGGCATCAACGAGATAGTCGCCAAGACGAAAGAAAGCCGTGAGAGCTGTGGTGTATGGCTGAAGGGACAAGGACAAGCTTCTGGTATCTCAACTGCAAGTAACATATCTATTTCGCGATTCAAACCTGCCCCAAATACTTTGGCGGTTTCTGCAATGCCTATTTAATGACCTCATTGACTACATTGGAAGACTGTGGGATGCCCCTAACCCAAGTGACAAGATAGCGAGTTGATGGTGACCCACTTTCATGAACTATTACTCCATGGAGCGATAATATGAAACTCGCATGCTCAACACAACACTCAATGCCGAGGGGCCTGATTCTTATAGTAGCTAGAATGGTCAAATTTTATAATACACCGCGCTGTTGAAGGTGCCAAGAACATATCCAAGGCCACGAGAACAGTTTTGACCCCTTTGTCGCAAACTGTTATATATGTGATGCTTTCGTATGCTGAGATGTTTTAATCATGCTCGAGCCAACGACTTCATGTACAGTGGTGACAAGCTCGCTCTCCTATCGGAGTCGTAGTCCATGGACAAGTATCAGCTTCCGTGTGACTGCCTACAATCCTGTATCTGATGAATAGTGAAGG